CAAGTTATTGATTTATATACGTTTCGATAGATATGGTAGGATCAGTGATTTCAGATAGCTCAACAATTGAGAGTCTTATCCGTTGATCTTCCACTTGATTTGATCGTTTTCTCTCATATAATGGATTGTGAAAAGATGGTCGATCAATTACCGAAAATTCAAAATTTCTTCTTTCTTTTGAATTTTTTCGGAATTAACTAATACCAAACATATGCTATTCCTCACAATGAATTTCTTCCTTGTAATGATAGTGTATTTCGATTTTTACAGAACTATTTATGGAACATACTTTATTGATGAAAAAAAAGAATGAAGTTACAATATTAATGTTTCAAATTAAAGAAATTATAAAATTGATTATCACAGCATTTGAAGAAATTGAAAGGAATTAACGTCAGCATCTTCAAAGTATCGAAATCTTTCAAAAAGTCCCATCCAAAGGACTAACAAGATTCCTTGCATTAACTTTTTTCTTCGATATTGCTAATGATCATTCGACTGATTGAATGCTATTTCAGTTTAGAGCTGTTCTGAATTCTACAGCTGATAGGTAATAAGTTTCAGTTAATTTCAGTTGAAAAAAAAGCGAAAGGAAAAGGAAATTAAATTTAAATCAGGCATTCAATCACCTCTCAAAAAATTCCATTTCCAGTATTCAAGAAGGAATCACATAAACAATTCATTTTATTTTTAAATTGTAACAGCATTTTCCCATTAACTATCTGCATCAAGAATATCCAGCAAAACAAAATAGAATAGAAGAAAAAAAACCAAACTTTTGGAATAAGTACATGCGTTTAAGTAAGAATTTGGCTAATAATATGCATTGGCAATAGTTGAAAATTAGAAGTATAAAAACGCTGAAAACAAACATCTGCTTTGCCAACTGTCTACAGCAATACTGCTTTCGATATGTACAATCGTTTGTGCCTATTAAAAGCTTACTGAAAAAATAGCTCACCAATATTCGTGAACTGTGGAGACCTTCCGCATGTAATAGATAAATGGGTAAAAGATATAAAAACCTAAACCACATCATCACAGTGAATTCTATGAGTATTTCAAGCTTCCAGCAAAACAGACATCTTCACAACCATCTACGACCAGTTTGGCCATAAATTATGACTAAAAACAGTGGCAACTAAAAGACAAGCATTTTTCTCATTGCTGTGGACGTTGTTGTTGTTGTTGTTGTTGTTGTTGTTGTTGTTGTTGTTGTTGTTGTTGCTGGTATTGCTGTCTCATTTGCTCATCTCGTTGTTTTTGAGCTATGGAAAATTCAGGATAACTGATAAAACCATCTCGGTTAAGGTCATCAGAATCAAAGATTGGATCTAACATCCGTTCAATTTCTATTTCCGTAAGTACTGGTGGTAGTTGAGATGTATCTTGTCGGGAATCCCGATTTTCTGGAATGTCCTATTGAAATTAATAATAAATGAAATACATCCACAAAGTCCCCATTTTTTCATTAGCTTAAACTTTTATTTCATGCATCAAATTCCATTTTACCGTTTTCTCATTTCAATACTCAGAATTCGTAACGGCAACAGATAGGGTAGAATGATATTCCAGATAAAAATGATTAATACCGTCATGAAAGTGTGTGATTGCTTTAATTAATTCAAGGCCATCCAGCAAACCATTTTTATCCGCATCGTGCATATTGAAATAATGGAACTGCAACTGCTCGGGTGTCATATTCGCAGTTGGATCAATTTTGCCATCCAAATGTTCCTTGATGTGCCTAGAAAATATAAACAATAATAGTTTTTGCTGCATGAAAGATGGATAATTTCCAAAGTCAACTTTTCGAGAACTTAATTTCACACTCGGTAGGAAAACTTATTTATGATACCGAACATAGCAACATTATGCCAAAAGACGATAAAGACAGTCAATAAAGACGATACAATGAGGTTTCTTACGATTACCTTATGGTTTTTTTAGAATTAAAAAGTTCCCGTAACAAATACTGGATTCTGATGGCTAACGATGCGACTGACTTAAATCAATTTTAACTATTTTAATCTCAATCAAAACTCTTTGCTCAAGAGATGACTGGTGCACAGGTTTGTTAATTAAGGATAAATAGTAGGAAATGAAAAACACAAGCAGTAGCCCTCACTATTTCACAATCCAATCTCTGATTAGTGAAGTGAAAGAGCTATTTTGCAAATGAAACTTCACTCATTCACTTGCACATCAATTTATTTAAACCCAAAACAAGAGTTCTTTTTTCAATGTTTATCATATAAATAATAGCTAAACGAAGTAACCTTAACTTTCCTTACATCACCAAATACCACTTATGGCAAGAATCAACCCAAGCCACTGAAGATATGAAAGCCATATAAATTCACTAATCATGTACAGACTGAGAAGTATTCCCACCTTACACTTAATTAGTTTAAACAAAGGGTTTCCCACTATTCGAATAGTAATAGGAAACTTTTTGGAGAGTTCGGCTATTCGAAAAGTGACCAGGCTAAATTTCAGTAGGAAGTAACATTGACTTTAATTAGTACAAGGTTAAAAAAATGACCATCCACCAATATTAATATCTTATTGAAGACTAAAGTCTTTTTTTTCAAGAATTTTGAGAATTAGAAAACATCTAAGTTCAACAAGAACTGGAACCTATTCTTCAGAAGTAACAACTTTTATAAGCTAAGAAAATCACTGTCAAATTTTCCAGTGTAAAAGAAAAAGGTGATAGTAATGGCATACTCAACATTTTTCGCTTGTTCACCTCCAAACTCTCGAGCACCCTGCGAGGGTGTATTAGGATGAGCGGGTGGTGGTTGATGATGCATTTGACCTTGATGATGTACCTTCAAAAAAGCAAAATTTAACCTTATAATTGAAAAAAAACTGAACCAATAAAAATTAGGTTATATAGAGTATTGAATAAGAAACAACCTATTCAATAGGCGGGAAATGAATTTAGGAATAATTTAGGGATATATAATTTCGTTGTAAATTTTTTAACTTCCCTATACTACACGACAAGAAAAATATAATTACTTCTGGTGGTTTCTGCGCATTCTGACCTGGAAATGATGGTGCCTGATGAGCTAATATCAATGCAATTGAAACCAGAAAGAAAAGAGCACCTACGATATTTTGCATCATTAACGAAGCTACACAATTTATTCTGAAAACTATTTTTACATTTAAACTTATTTAAACTTTGCAAAAATTTACCGAAATTTAAAATTTGACTACAACATCGAAATCTTCAAAAAAAAAAGACATTTGTTAAATTCGAAAAAGATTTGCAAATTCAAATTTAATGTTGTTAATCTATTAATGTTACTAATAATATCTAACTGTCAAATACAACAATAAAATTTTACATTTCTTCTCTTTCCACATCTCATCTCTTCCCCCCCGCTATATCTCATATCCCCCCTCAGTACACTCCCGCCCTTAATTGTACCATTCCTCATAAAATGCAAATTCGCATACTTACCATCCATCAAATTCACGGCCGTAACCGTGAATTCCCAATTACCACGTCAGCCAAAGAGTAGTAAAAGCATGGTGAGGAGGGAATTGTCATCAATTAGGGTTTTGGTCCTTAAGGAAGAGATAATTTGTTGCAGAAATTAGAGTTATGACAGGAGAGGATTAGGAATTCAATGAATCTTCAGGATCATCTGTCTCTCTCTTTTCCTCCACCCCGTCCCCCCAATCCCGCCTGCGGGAAAGAGAAGCAAAGAATCCGAGAGTTTCATTCTATCCTAATCTAATAAGTGTCATCTGATCATTATTTTGCATTAATTTTTCCCACATTATCATCTTTACGGCAATCATCCTATTTTTTGAAATTATTTATTTAGGTGGAAAAATTTTCAAACTAACTTATTTTTGTCAGCTATGGCATCATTGCTCTGAAAGGTTTATTTTATTGTGATTTGTATACTTTATCCTGAAATATATGATGTTAATAGATGTGACAGTATCATTGATCTAATAGCTTACATTAAATGAATTTTTTTTTAAAAAACTTGTTTTAGAATAACCTTTTGATCATGATGTTATTGTCGTGAAATACATATTTTTTATTGAAATGTATAATATCGAAGATTGAATGTATAACATTAAGGGTTTGGTGTAAATCATTAAACTTTGACTTATTCGCAATATTAATTTCAGGAAAGCGGTAGGTATTGACGGGGGTGTGCGGATTTATTGATGCGTGTAAATGAAACGGAGTTGCCTTTGACGGTTACACGACGACGCGTCACAGCTTCTGGTATTGGTGTGAATCCGAACGTGAATCATATTCCTTCAGAAGGCGTTGTTAAATCAAAAACCAGTCCGTTCTCATCGTTTGCAAATCTTTCTGCGTCATTGTGGTCTTCTGCGCAGGTATGTAAAATGTTTCATATATGTTTTGTTTTATTTGTTTCACAATTTTTTTAATGCGTATTTTAACGCCTTTTGCAATTTTTTTTTTGTCAATTAGGAAAGCATAATGATTTGTGGTACACTAGGAATATAGGTGGTTTTTTATCAGAGTTTATAAATAGACCGACTGAAGAAGTAAGGCTTAAAAAAGTTTTTGGGAGCAAATCAGATTAGAGTGGAATCGAGCAAAATTTTAAAATATATAACTTTTGAGACAAGTTATATTAACATGTGAACTATATTAAGAAGCCCATTGCCTGCTAGGTTGCACTATCCTAAACAGCATGAATTTTTATAGAATTCTTGACCCTACAAGTTAACGTCATGATTGTAACGGTGGGCTAAAATTCCTTTGCACCTATGGTGTGTTGTATGTATGTGCGTGCATATATGTACGTATGTGTTTGTGAGAGAGATAGGAAGCCAAGGTCAGAAAGAACGAAGAATTTATTAACGGCCAGGTAGCATACCGAAGGCCTATGAGTATGTGGTGTGTGTATAACATTTCTCTATCTGAAACGAGGCATGGTACATTGAATGGAGGCATGAAGTGATCGGATTTGCAATTAAAATTTTGTTGTTGTTCTGGATTTCATTGCTGAGATGAATGGTGTAACAGTAAATACTGCGATTTTCAAATAAGGAAAAAATGAACCAGTGTTGAAGCTGTTGTAAATCGAAACACCATACTTTGTTCGAATGTTGGAAGCATCGACAAAAAAAATAAATTTTCGATCTACAAGCACAGGCATTTTCTGGATTTTCTTCATGGGTAGCATTTTGGTTGGATGTCTTTTCGTTTTTGTCTGTGTGATTCTTTTTACCGAAGACGAAAATTTGAACGTGTGAGCAACTATAGTAATTTGCCACTGTCATGAGAAAATAATGAGGAATGAATTATTCGGTAAAATAATTGGGAACGTCTGCAGAAGTAATAGTTGAAAGATGCGAATCGTAGTGCGTAAGCAATAGATTAGATTGGCGAATAACTTTGAAAGCTGCTTGGCATTGTTTGGGCTGGTAGAAGTTAACATTTTGATGAATAAGGTCATCGGAAGAGGCATGATGATTATCAAATGCATCACCGATGGATATTTGAAACTGTAAAAGAGCAAATAATGGAAAAATTGGTACCTGATTTACGTTTGCTCCGAATAGGTTTAGGTTGTAACTTCTGGTTGGTGTGGTGTGAGTTTAGCGATGGTCATTAAGGCATTTTTTCATGAATCAGTGGAGTTCAGGTAACTAGTACTTGTTGAGATTGTCCTGGAGGTCTTGGAATAAATTGCGGACACTCGGTCATCAGGTGTATTGTGAAAGTAATTTGGAATTTATTCGTTAAAGCGCGAACTGTGTGCGCAAATGAACCATGACTAAGAAGATTTAAGCGTCTATTAAACAACTAACTTATATTTATATGGAAAAATAGGGGAATGGTTAAATTATACATATAGATTAAAAAGGTGGGAACACTATCAATCATAAGTTGATGTAAATACAACATATAGATCATATAATGATATAAGTTCAACATCTGAATTTAAATGACAAAGGATTATTAATTATAATTCAACAATGCGTTTCAGTTTTCATTGGCATATTGAATTTCAGCGTTTAAATCAAGTTTTTGATCAATAAACTTGAAACAACAGTATTTGCGATGATTTTCATCAATGAAATGTAATACCTACTAATGCTCAGTTTTGCAGAATCACCGCAGTATCATAATGCAGCAGTTTGCAATATTAATAATTTCCATTTTCGTTCTATTTTAGTCTCGTAAATCATTATAATTGCAGCACACCTTCTCTGGTACCACCTGTGACACCTCTCCATTCCTTGATTATCTGGGAAACACTTCGGGAAGCTCAAAGTGTGGGCAAAGTTCATCGATTAATTTTATTAAAGCGACTGAAGAAATGCCGTCGCGTGATCGTACTGGCGAGTTTCGTACTACAGCGAAGTCATATCAGGTTAATTTATTACATAAAGCATCTTTTGGAGCTTTTTTTTTTGAAACGGTAGTGTAAGGATGGAACATAAAATAAGCTTTCCCTTCCAGTTTCTAGGCCAAGATAGAATTAGTGCGAAGTAACTTATTACTTCTGATTAAAAAACAATTTCAGATGAAAATGTATGGAGTCAGTGGCTATACACCAAGAGAGCCAAGAATACAGCAATCAGTACAGTTCGCACAACTTGCAAAGTAATCTTTATTACAATTCGAAATCCAGCTTTTTCTGAGAATGAATAAATTTGGGGAAGTAGAATGTAGCCTTGATGATTCAGCTGATAAAAGTTTGATTTTGATATACTTGTTTTAAAAAGAACTGGATTTTCCAAATCCTTTTAATTTGCTCTTCAAAAATCCTCTTTTGTAGGCGTATTGGGCGTGATTTAAGTTTAACATGTGCAAAAATGGAGAAGTTAACTGAATTAGCTAAACGGCGGTCTTTATTCGACGACCGCATGATAGAAGTGGAAGAATTATCGCAAATGATAAAACATGTAAGTTTTGGAAGTGTTGCTTGGATCAGTGTTGTCAATTGTGCTCATTAATTAATAAAATGAAATTTTCTAGGATATAACAGGATTAAATAAGCAGATAGCAGTGTTGCAAGAATTTTCGAAAAATAACGGTAATTTCAACAAAAAGGATCAAGGACGTGGGCATTCACAGTTGATTGTTGTTGGGCTCCAATCAAAGCTGGCAGGTGTCAGCAAGGATTTCCAGAATGTATTGGAATTAAGAACCGAGGTATGTCTGATTTTGAGAATTTCTGTTCGAGACCTACTCAGTAGAGACTTAGTTGGGTATGTGATATTGGGATGGTCATTTAAGCTGAGTTTTGGTATGCCGAGTTTTGTCTTTGTCTCCAAGAAAGCAACATGCAGAAAATCGTTTTATTGCCTATTCATGCATTCCTTTAGCTACTTTTGTCGGTGAATCTTTGAGATTATATGCAGCACTCCATTATGTTGCATTGTCATACTATTTTAGAATATGAAACAGCAAAAATCGCGTCGTGAAAAATTCAGTCAAAGTCAACCTGTGCCGTCAGGTTTACCGCCTTCTGTCAGTTCCGGAAACTGTAAGTTATTCCGACTTTTCAAAAATATTTTACAATTTCAAAAATGAATTTAGGTATTCTTTATGAAGATAATTGGATTGGGAATATACTTGGAGTTTAGATTACTTAGATCGTGACATAAGACTTTGATTATTTTTAATCGAACATTTGATAAATTGTTTTATAGTAGGTTCAATTTTATTGCAAGATGAAATGAATGCTTCGTCATCAGTAGCAATTGATATAAATACGTTAGAGCAACAAAGGTTGCAACAACAGGTACTTTTTGTTTCTTATATGGCATGTTTTGCTCTTCTCTGTTAAAGATAAATCTTCTATGCTGACAAATTCACCAACAGATTTCGTAATTCATCCTGTCCTCAAGCCAATAATACCTAATAAAAGGTTTTATTTGATGAGATGGATTCAATTATTATTTTTGCATGAGATGGAGGAATAATAATTTATTCTTGTGATTGACTGCAAAGGTGAATATGATCATCATGAGATCGACTTGGAAATCTAGACTAAAACCAGCATTTTGAGTTTTAGTTACCCAATAGATTATTGGAAAATAACATTCTGTTGTCATCTGAAATGCTTCTTTTGGCTGCAAACCTCATGGAGTCAGGAAATAAGGAAAGAAGTATTGTAAAAGGTTCAAATGAGAAAATATGATCTTGAAAAGTTGTAGGTTTCACTAATTAATGAACAGGACGCATATTTTCAAGCTCGTTCAAGTACAATGGAAAATATTGAAAGCAGCATATCAGAGTTGGGTCAGATTTTTCGTCAGGTTAGCAAATCTCTTTTTTCCTCTTAAGTTTCTATAGAGGAAAAGTTGCGTGCATCAACAACAGACTAAGGTATAATGATTTAAATCCTTGTTTTAATAGGTTATATTTTCCACTGGTCAGTAATAAGCTTGATTTTATTGCCCAAACAATATAGTTGCAAAATAGTCCAGTGAGGTATATAAACACCCTTTCTTGGGGTCATTTGAAAGAGAACTTAAGTTTTGATGGGTATAATGTGTTGTATTTGTGTCCGTGGCGTTCATTGCCATGGGGTGTCTGACAGGAAGAACACAGTCTCTTCAGAGAGTGATACATATATGTAATTCAAGTTATGTAAGATATTTGCTGAGGATAAGAGAACTCTTTAAATAATGATGAGTGGTCACTGCATAAAAAGTGATGAAATAATGTTTGGTTTTCCTTCAGATATTTTCTTCAATTTAGAATTTTTTCATCATTTGGATTTTTGTAGCTCGCTTCACTAGTTACTGAGCAAGGTGAAATGATTACTCGAATTGATTCGAACGTTGAAGAAACATCATTAAATATTGAAGCTGCTCATACGGAGCTGGTCAAATATTTCCATTC